GGGGAGACAGAGGCGGCGGTGGGCAGGTGGTGGGTGATTTAGAAATGTATCCGTGCCATGTAGGCAGTGATCACTGAAATAAATATAGAGAATATATCAGACTCAGTATTTATACTTCCGGAGGAATCCGACGAGCTATAAAGCTCTTTTTCACAGATGTCCAGGAGGGGCACGGGGTAAGAACGTTACAACAACAAACAGCACACAAACACGATAGGAGTGCAAAGTACAAGAAAAGTAAACAAATCACCCACGCACGTACAAATACAACTGAACAATCCCCATCCTACCAGGAAAAGCACACTGCGGTTTTAACTTACTTTTTCAGAAACAACCAGGCCAGAAATGATAGCTCAATAAAGTGGCACCATCACTCGGGCATTTATAGCAGCGCAATAATCTAAATGCATGTTTCTAAATGTGGAGGGAAACACTGGAGTACCCGGAGAAAAAATCGACGCGACCACGGGTAGAACGTGCACACTCCAAATATACAACAGGCTTCAGGGTCGGGACCGAACCCCCGACGTCCTGCATACCAGGCGAGATAGATAACATCAACATACGTACGTATGCGAGGCAATTGGCAGCAGGCACTATTTGTCTTGTCTTAACTCCCCCCCCCCCCTAAATTGTCCAATTGAAAGTTGAGTAAGGGCTTAGCACCTCGGCTGCAATATGCTTTCGGAAATGCCGAGGATTAGGTGAACACAGTTGTGCGTGTATGTTTAGTAGAAAAAGAGGGTATGGGTTTGTCAATGGCAGGTTGGGTGATGTGAATCAGTTTTTAAATTCAGTTCACCAGACCGTGAACAGCTGAATGCGGGGGGGGGGGGGGTAGTCTTGTTGAAGATGAACCACAAAAGATACGCTCAGCCATCGTGTCCTGCCTTTCTGCACGTGAATGGGACTGTGCTCGAAGCCATCAGTAGATTTTACTGTACAGGACGCCACTGTGTCGAGTGTAAATATTGTTACTGCGCCAAACGTGCATCACTCTGCCTGTCTTGTTATGTAGGCCAAGTCATCCGGAGAACGGTGACTTGGCCTACATTGCCTAGCCTGGTTCACGGTTTGAATCCAGTGGCCGCCCCGATTTAATACTGCGTGTTTAATGACCATAATACTACTACTACTATGGCACGCTATCCGCTTCACAATGGACTTCAAAAATCCCGTGACGCCATTCGCGAGAGCGGGGCCGCTTCATTGTCTGCATCACGGCCCTGTAGAATTGCCAAGAATGCCCGCAAATGGCACAATTGGGATTATATACGTACCGGTGGCAGACTTGTGCCCCAGGTCGCTCTTGCACTTGAGACTCATTCGGGTCGCTTTGAGTTCCTCACCGGGTTCAACGAAATACACTTGACGCTCAACATCTCCTGCACGAGGCGCGTTGCGCCACGTTTGCCGCGGCACGCGCCGACGCGGTCTCACCGACCGTGGCCTTTGGGTCTTGCCATTGCCAACCTCGGTAAACCGGTCGCGAAATATTTCCTATCCACATGACCATCTGTGGGCCCGTTGCATAACTTGTTTTTTTTTTACCGGAAGGGAGAAGACGCCAAATTTGTTTTCGAAATTTGAACAAACAGACACCGTGGCCTGAACGTGCGGCTTGACCTCTGGTGACCCCCTGCAGTGTGTGATGTTTCTGCAGGCATACCACGCATGGTTATTGTAAATCTAGAGTCTACGCGTGCGTGCGTGTGTGCATGCGTGTCACAGGCATATGCTGTGCATCGTGCATGTGTGTTGCATGTTATAGAATAATGACCTTCGTGTGTGTGTGTGTACACGTTTGTCCCCGACAACAGTTTGTACACTGACATGCTCAAGTGAAAGGTGGAGCCCTGCAGTATCTTTCTCACGTCACTGCTGGCGGAAGACGCTCCGCTAGACGGAGCTCTAGAGCACCCCTGCCGAGGGTATTTTGGCCTACTCTTTCACGCCGGACAGACTGTTTTGAAAGAAACGGGCCTGCCCATACTTTGCTTCGCGGCAAGGGACCTGCCGATCGGCTGACTGTGGTGTAGCCGTTTATACAGCCGGGTGGACGGAGGCGGTGGTGGTGGCGGGTATTTAAGAAACGTGCGCCGTTGTTTCAACTTCTGTGTCTGTAGATGGAGCCGCCGACCTCTGGAATGCGAGCGTAGGGCGGTGCTGTGACCGTTGCACCACGTGGTGCAGTCGTGTAGAGTAAAATCAACAGTTGGATTTCGGACGCAGCCCCATTTCACACTCGACGTGAACAGGACACGAAACCTTCACTTGCATTATTATAAGGTCGCAGTCGTTGCACACACAAAGTGCTTGCCACAATTGAACCGCAATACCTTGCTGATCTCGTCAAGGAGCAATAAACCATCATCACGTGAACGCCGGTCATCCTCGCAGCAAGCCGCTTTTGGCTAACCGTCGAGCAAAGACGACGGTCACCGCATCGCGCGGCGCTTTCAGATGCGCTTCTGCGGTCGTCTGGAACGCTCTTCGCTCCGATATAAGGAAGCCACTGGGAGCTATGCACGTAAATAATCATCGAGATTGACAAACTAATTTCTTGAGAACTCCTCTGTGTGTTTAGTTTGTCGTCCTTCAACACCTCCGATTAGCGCGGTCGGATACGTCTCGCGCGAAAGTAGTTCAACACACAAACGCGCATGCTAGTCCGTCTTCAAACAGGCCTCCCCACATTCATCACTGTGCACACACTGATGAATTGCGTTCCAAAAGGAATTTCTATCCGACCAGCCGGTCCCAAACGCCGCCACCCTTCCTGCCAATGAACGTCCGCGTTTCCTTTTAAAAGGCCAGTCGGCCAAAACGTTGCGATTTAAACCTTCTCTCAAAACAATTTAATTTCATTTAATCAGATTATGTATACGTTCACTGAAGCAGCAACTTGATAGTATTTGTTTATGTCTGTGTGTGTGTGTATATATAGAGTATATGCGGAGCGGTAGTGTAGTGGTTAGCGGTAACCCGAGTTTGTTTCCCACTCACGTTCAACACCAGTGACAATTGTCTGAACCGGTCCTAGCCCTCCCCTAGATCAACTCGGCCTCAAATGAGTACCTGGCGGTCGGGCGTGGCGCTGGCCACCCATCCCCTTGTGTACCGTACTGGCCTTAATAGGTGCTCGCTAACAGCACTTACCCCAACAGTCTGTGGGGATATGCGGGGGGATATGTTTGTCTTTGTCCGCGAGATGCTTGCACGGCAAAGGTTGAGGTGGGACCGACTGCCTCGCGTCAATCGCGCGCCCCGCATCACGGCGTCAGCCACACAGCACCGTCACTCGAGATGCTGCTCGAGTGATACCTCCGTGTACACCCCGCGAAAGGCCAAAACTAACCCCCGCAATAACTAAATCGGTGCACAGAGAAACAGCGAATGATAAACACGCGATGTGCTAGGGTTTACCTGTAAGTTGTGTGTGTATATGTGTACATGGCGGGAAAGTATATGTGGTTACATATGTGTGTATTTGTTGAGAGGGAACGACTCGGGAGGTATAAGGAACTATAGGCGGTGATCCGGAACCAAATCTCCCCCACTCCCTCCCCAAGCTCTGCTGTTCCTCTGGATATGAAGGCGTTCATAGACAATTAATGAGGGCTTACACTTGCATGGCCGTTCGCGACAATCGACGCTCCTCAGTGCCAGGCGCTATTCCAGCGGTGGGCAACCTGCAGCCCGCGGGCCGCGTGCGTCCCGTGCAGCCCCTCATGGTGGCCTGGTCTCGGTGCGTCTCTGGGGTGATGCGTGGGGGTCACGATGAGTGCACAAGCACGGTGTCAAGCATGCAGCCCACCGAGGTGGAGGAGGGCCACTCACGTGGCCCACTGACCATAGTCTGGGGTTGTCCATCACTGCCCTGTCTATTACAAGGCAATATAAGCATCTTCGTGAAAAAAAAGTATGCAAAATTTAAAACAGATGCATCAGTGCACCATAAACGGTAACGTTGCATTTAATTAAGAGTTTTAGCGGCGCCACGGTGGCGAGATGTTAACTACCTCGCCTGATATAGGGAGGTCGTGGGTTCGAACACGACCTTGGCGCCTTCTGTATATTTGGAGTTTGCGTGTGTCTCTCCCCATGATCGCGTGGATTTTTTTACAGATTCTCCAGTTTTTCCCCTCCACATTTAGATTAACATCACGTGTTTAGAGCATTCGGCTGCTATAAACTTGCACGTGATGATAAGCCACTTCGTTGAGCTATCATTTGTGATAGCCAGGTCGCTTCTGAGAAAGTTACATAGCTCAGTGGGCCTTACCTGGTAAAATAAAAAAATAGTTTAGTGGAAAGACGCTGGCTTTTATACACTCGCCTGGGTCAGAAGAAAAATCGATGATCGTACATTGCCGAGCGTGTTGCTTTCGTCGTAAGGGTCAGATGAAAACGGCTGGCTTGGGCTTACAAATAGACACGCTCCATGAAAGTTACATTCACCACTATAACTGGAACGTGACCGGGAGTACGCCCACCGCGGAGTGTGGAGTGGTGAAATCGGCTCGTGTTCTAGGAGCTAGATGGATCATTACATCCCAGCACTGTCACTCTTTTGAGTTCTTACCCGATTAAACAAAATAAAACTTGACTTGGAGAGATGGCGATGTCTTTGGGAGGCCTACATCCTACAGAGGATCGATGATGGCTGATGAGGATGATGATGAATCAATAGGACTAGTACAAATATGAATGTGTAAAAATTATTATTAACTTTAAAAACGAGGTGCTAAATAAGTTCAACGTACACACATACAGCTGTGGAGGTTACCTGCGGCTTCTCAATGGCGGCAGTGGCCCTGTGGCGACCTGTTGTGGACCCCCTGAGCATCGACACAAAATCATCTGTTGCAAGGGAGACCTGAGGTCCTTTTCCTTTTATTCGTGAATGCACCGCTATTGACGGTGGCTGTCGACGGTCGTGCGAGGTGGACTCAAATCTGCCCTCAACAAATCGCGTCCCTTCGTGTGCCCGCTTGCAGACGCCTTGCTCGCCGACCTGGAGTCGACCACGTCGCACCTGTCCAAGCGTCCGGCGTTCCTCCAGGAAGACCCGTACACCGTGCCCACGGCATATCCCGGGGACGCCGGCGCCCCGCACGCCGCCTTCGGCAACAGCCACGCGCAGCGCGCGAGGCCAGGGGACGACGTGCCCCCGCCCATCCCACCCCCGCCGTCCCTGCAGGCTCTCAACGGCGGCGACTCGGACGACTTCCACCCACGCCCGCCGCCACCCCCCGCCTACGTCCCCAGTTACAACAACCAGGTGCTTCATCCCGCCGGCTCCGAACGTTTGGCTGTGTCGCCGCTGGCGGCGGGTTTTCTTCTGGTGCTCTCCAGCTCTCTCCGATGAATCAGAATATGTATATATATATTTTTTTACAAATGTCCAGTAGGGGCACGGGGTAAGAACGTTACATCAACAAATAATCACACAAACACGATAGGAGTGCAAAGTACAAGAAAGGTAAACAACTCGCACAAACAAACACAACACATTAACCATCCCCATCCTACAGTTTTTCCCTCCACATTTAGAAACATGCGTTTGAAGTATTTGGCTGCTATAAATTTCCACGTGACTAAGCTGCTTCGTTGAGCCATCATTGGTGATTGCCAGGTCGCTTCTGAAAAATAGTTATATAGCTCAGTGGGGCCTTACCTGGTAAAATAAAATAAAAAAATGTTTTAAATAGATGTTGATATTTATCATTTAAGTTGGTATTCACTTCGCCATATACAAGAAGAAGAATACAAAAACCACAAGCATTGTGTGACGACATTGAGCGTCGCTTGTGTGGTGTGGCACAGCGCTAGTCCAGCAGAGTTTGCGAGGCCACAGCTTGGCTCGAGTTTATTATTATTATTATTGAACCACTTTGAGAACCGGCGTCTTGTATGCCCTTCTGCGCCTTCAAGGTGGCGGATAGCAAGGGGCAAGCGAGGCCTGGCGTTCCCGGTGCCCCACGTGTGGTGGCTGCGTCCGGAGACCACGAACACATCTACAGGTGGGTGGCGCGCGTCCCTAAGGTTTGCTCACTCGTCTCATCCACTCGCGTACGCTCACGTACGCCATGTCATGTGTTTAAGCACGTGACATAGCGTACGCTCACGTACGCCATGTCATGTGTTTAAGCACGTGACATAGCGTACGTTCGCGTACGCCATGCCATGTGTTTAAGCACGTGACATGGCGTACGCTCACGTACGCCATGTCATGTGTTTAAGCACGTGACATAGCGTACGTTCATGTACGCCATGCCATGTGTTTAAGCACGTGACATAGCGTACGTTCATGTACGCCATGCCATGTGTTTAAGCACATGACATAGCGTACGTTCATGTACGCCATGCCATTTGTTTAAGCACATGACATAGCGTACGTTCACGTACACCATGCCATGTGTTTAAGCACGTGACATAGCGTACGTTCATGTACGCCATGCCATGTGTTTAAGCACGTGACATAGCGTACGTTCACGTACGCCATGCAATGTGTTTAAGCACGTGACATAGCGTACGTTCACGTACGCTATGTCACGTGTTTAAGCACAGCTGCCACATTTCTAAAACACCTCATGTAATTAGATGCAAACGTCTACCCTGCGGCGAGATGTTGACTACCTCGCCTGGTGTACAGGAGGTCGTGGGTTCGATCCCGACCCTGACGCCTGCTGCTGCTGTATATTTGGATTTTGCGTTTCTCTCTCTCTCCCCCCTTGGGAGTGTGGATTTTTCTCCAGGTCCTCGGGTCCTTACCTCCACATTTAGAATAGAGTATTTGGCTGCTACAACATTTCCACATGATGATATGCCACTTCGTTGAGCTATCATTTATGGCCTGGTTGCTTCTGAAAAACAAGTTAATACCTCAGTGGGCTTTGCATGGTAGGATGGGGATGGTTTAGTTTTATTTGTTTGTGTTTGGGTCATTTGTTTACTTTTCTTGTACTTTGCACTACCATCGTGCTTTGTACTGTTTGCTGTTGTAACGTTCTTACCCACCCCTACTAGACATCTGTGAAAAAGAGTTTTATAGCTCATCGGATTCCTCTAGGGTAAATAAATATGCTGATTCTGATCCACTCCTTTTAAAGCCACGTTATTATTGATTCAGTGTCTTGAGTGTTGTGTTTAGTCCATGCGCGCCCCTGCCAACGCAGCAGCAGCATCACCAAAGAATGTCTTCACACACTGTGTAATTGTCATTTATGACAAGCTTTGGACAAAATATTGCTTCAAATTGCAACTCTCTTTGCGAAGTAACGCTTGACGGAAATCTGGGTGGACATTACTGGACGTCTGTGAAAAAAAAGTTTCACAGCTCATTGGAATTTATCCTGCAGTCTAAATAAAGATTGTGATTCTTTATTTCTACGTGACTTTCGGTAAAGTCATGTAGAAGGGAAACAATAAAATAATTAAAATATAAAACAATAAAAAATCTTCACGACATTTCGACTGCAACACAAGCAATTTTCTTGCTGTGGTTTTTACACCTGATGATGATTGCTTGTGTTGCAGTTGAAACGTCGTGAGAATTTTATTGTTTTATATTTTTATTATTTTATTGTTTCCCGTCTACGTGACTTTACCGAAAGAACCAAGAATGTGAATCCCTGCAGTCACGAAAGCTTTAAATCTAAATTCTGATGGTGCTTGTGTGATCAGAGCATCCGTGCGTGCAATGCATAGTCCACGTCTCTACCGTCTTTCTACACTACCGTGTGCAAAGCTCTTTGCACGGTGCAATCTGCTACCAAAACCCCCTTCGTGGACTGTTTTTGCCAGGGTCTTGATCCTACATGCACACTCTTGAAAATTAGTTTTTTTGCTCATTGGAACTTACCCAAAATAAACTGACCGACTAAACACACATTGCGCGTGGGTTCCAACAAAAAGAATTGCCCGCAAATTAACCAATTGGGATTATGCATTGGGAGTATCTCCCCCGATTCGCAGACCAGCTTGGGCACTCGTAGGCTGGGGTCCGTGGCTGTCTCCCCGTTACGTCTGTGACTTCCTGCACCTCCGCGGATGCAAATTGTACAGTGTTGCGAGATGGAACTTGGCAGGAATGATGCGATGTTCCAGAACGGTAGAGCCAGCATTATGTAAAACACTGCTGGACACAACCTCCACTATTTCACTTGGCACGTCACAAGTCGTTGTTCCACTAGTTGGCCTGCGTTTCACTAGCTAATGCCGTATTTCACCAGCTGATTTTTGCGTTTCACCACGTGGTCCTGTATTTGACTAGTTAAAGCTGTAATTCACTCGTTGTTTTTTTAGTTTCACTACTTGCCGCTGTTTCTCTAGCGGGCCCTGCATTTCACTGGTCGTGTGTAACTCGTCTGGCCCTATGTGTTTTCTCCAGCTGCCCCCCCCCCGTAACGCCCCGTGACGAGTGTATGCGTGTGTGGTTTTTTTCGTGGCTGGCCGTATTTTTTTTCCAGTTTGCCGAACAAGCCCAAGTCGGCCGAGCCGTCGCCCTCCTACTCGTCGTCCTTCGGCCTGGGCAGCAACCTGTCGGAGCTCGACCGCATCCTTCAAGAGCTCAACTGCGATCAGTACTCCTTGCCCGGCAACGGTAAACCACCGCGAATGCCGCGCTCCGTAACCGGGCACGAAGTTGTCGTTGCGCACGTCTCAATATGTAAATTACGCCGGTTCCTATTTTGCACGTGGGGGGGGGGGGTGATATATAAGAGCTTCAAAATGTACCTGTGGCAGTGTAAACCGCACGTTAACATTCAACTTTGCGTTATCGAAAATAACAATAATAATAACAACGTATAAAATAATTCTGTTTCGCCTTTGCGGAGCATGCCAATATTGGAGACAGACGGTCGTTGTTGCCAGGTTGCAAAAATATTCCCCCTCGAGTATCCCGTTAGTGAGTGGGCCGAGATGCTCACAGTGATGGATAATAAATATAGATGATTTTGGGCCGTTTCCAAATGGTAGGACTCGGCTAGCCACGGTCCATAGGAAAGCAATTCTACGGCCCTATCCGGCCTGTAGGCCACAGCAGCAGGTGTCAGGGTCGGGATCGAACCCACGACCTCCTGTCCACCAGGCGAGGGCCAGCCGTGCTAATCGGAGGTGCGGTGGGGAAGGGCAACAAACTGAACACAAAAAGGAGTTGTAAAGAGTTTTCAATCTAAAATGCGTGCACGTGTGTGTGTGCGTGTGTGTGCGCCCACAGATGCTGTTGCCCCCACCGGTCAAGTGCCGGGTGGCCACGACGCCGACTTCCCCAGAAAGGAAGGAGGGGCGGCGGTGGTGTTTCAGGGCGGCCCGGGGGGGGTACCACTGGCAGGTGGAGCGGCCGGGGACAAGGGCTTCGGCCCGGTGGGGGCCGCTGGGGGCCGCGGGGTGCAGCCCCAGGCGCGGCCTAGCGTGGACAACCTTCTCAGCGAGTTGAAGGGCTCCGTGCCGCCCGCCGATGCCGCCAGGTATGGCGACGCGCTACACCGCGGTGTTATTGGTGAATGTGTTGACTTTTATGTGATTTGTCCTTGTGCACCGCTGGACTTTACCACCCCCCTGGTTCTGGCTATTTCTCGCTTTCTGTACGTGGGGGGCGCTTTGGGAGTTTTGGACGAAATGCACCTCATAAGTGTAATTGATTATTATTACAATAATGGAAAAAGAAGAAGAGGCTTCACCCTTTTCTGGCAAAAACACAGGAGGTGTTAAGATGTGCAAATACCAAATAGACACACACCTATTGTAATGCATCAAGTCTGCAGTAGGTGTTCTTCTTTGGTTCTTTCGGTAAAGTCACGTAGAATGAGAATAAAATAATAAATTGATCAAATAAAATAACACAATATTCTCACGACGTTTCGGCCACAACACAAGTGGCCTTCATCAGGTGAAGGGACGAGACTGTCTGGAGGCCGAAACGTCGTGAGAATATTATTGTGTTATTTTATTTTATCAATTTATTATTTTATTCTCATTCTACGTGACTTTACCGAAACAACCCAAGAAGATGAATCCTTGCAGTCACAAAAGCTTTAAATCGAAATCTGCAGTAGGTGCTTATTTGGTGTTTGAACATATTTTGATACTGGCAAAAAAGGTCCCATTACACATAATTAAAATGTATAATAATGATACACAGCCTTTTTATCAATCCACTGTTGGCTGAAGATCTCCCCACTGCTCGTCCGTCGTGGGTGTTGTATGACCTTATCTCTTCACCACACTTGTCGATGAGAGTTGGCGAGTGAAAGCATAGCAGTACAGCACAACACAGAATATTGCTCTACCGCCCCCTGCTGTCTTCCACTCGCTTGAGTTAACAATCGCGCTCGATGCTATTGGGTTGTTCGTCAGGACGGCCGTCGCCGCTCATCCGGTTTCGCAGCCGTCGGTGAAGCTTTCCGCCGCGGCCGGCCACGGCACAGCCTCCCACGCCGCTCCGAGCCTGCAGCAGCAGCAGCAGCATCAACAGCTGGCACAACAACAGCAGCAGCAGCAGCAGCCTGCTATGAACATGGCCGTGGGTCAAGGCGGCGCGATCCAAAACAGGCTTCCGCCGGGCGGCGGCGGCGGCGGTGGCGGTGGCGCTCCGCTGCTGCAGCAGCAACCCGGCGGCCAGTGGGAGGGCCCCGCAGCCGGCGCAGGCCAACCGCAGATGCTGGGGGCGCCGCTGCCTCAGCCGCAGCAGGCTCGCATCTCGGCGTCGTCGGCGACGCGGGAGCTGGACGAGCTCATGGCGTGTCTCTCGGACTTCAAGCTGCAGAGCAACGTCAGTGGGGGCGCCCTCACCACCCCCTCCTTCCCCTCCACCCCCTCGCCCCACCCCCCCACACCTCCCCACCAGCGTGAGTCGTGCACCGCGAGCAACCGTTTCCGTCTGAAAATCTGAAATGTCGGAACGGATGTCGGAGAGGCGGTGCCCATCTCTCCGTTGCCAGCGGTGGTAACGCCATTCTTTGATATCGGTGTCGCCGCCCCACAGCCCGGACGTCCCTTGTCGATAACAGTCGCGTATCCCCATTGGGGTTCGCCAGGGTGTAAGAGAGGGGGCCTTTTTTCGGGACGGGCACCAATTTGCCCTCGCCCGCTCGTCCCGGCGACGAGGCAGCAGTGGAAGTTACCTCTGTTCGCTGGTGGCCACCCGTCTCTCGCTCTCTCTCCTACGGGCTGCCCGGCCGCATCGGGTCCGTGACTTCATTTCACACGGCGCGCATCGTGATACCTACCACTTGAAAACAGCCCGTAAACAATGTTTACACGTCGCTGCAGGACATCTTAGGGTTATTTTGTGTAACTGGCTGCAGTTTGTAAATATCAGAAGTGGGGAGACCAAGCAAGCCACATGTGGTTCTGGCCAATTACCACCCACCTGCATGTTTCTCTATGCCAGCCTTAGTAAGCGCTCACTCATGGCACTTATTGTTAAGGTGCACGTCCTCCTCTAAGGCTCAACGTTGAATCATTCTATGTTGTCCTTCTTCCGCACCGTACGTAGCCAGCCGAGCTCTTCGGAGGCGCGTGGTTGTGTGCGCGTGTGCAACTGCTTGCGTGCGTGCTACTGCTTGCGTGCGTGCATGTCTGTGTGTGTTTTGCATGCGCCAATATGGGGAGTGGTAGCGTGCTGCGCTATGAACCCGGTGACCCGAATTCGATTCCTGCTCGTGGCCAACACCAGTGATGATTATCTGAATCGGTCCTGGGCCTCCCCAAGATCAACTGTGCTACAATTGAGTACCTGGTGTGGTGTGTAAACATCCCCACTGGGGAGCTGGGGAGGCAAAGGCGGTTGGGCGTGGTGCTGGCCTCCCACCCCCCTCGTGTGCCGTTCTGCCCTTCATGGGTGCTTGCTCCGACAGTCTGTTAAGGCTTTCACGGGGGATCTTTGTCTTAGTGTGTGTGCGTGCAGTGTGCCGATGCGTGAACGCGTGCCACGTGCGTGCCGCCGTTTCGACAGATCCCTGGGCAGGCCGGCGGTGTGATCCAGAACAAAGGTGGAGCCCAAACAGGCGACCAGCTGGACAGCATGCTGGGCAGCTTGCAGTCTGACCTCAACCGCCAGGGAGTGGCCACCCTGGCCAAGGGCCAGTGCGCCGCCTGCCTCAAGCCGATTGCCGGACAGGTAAGAAATATTTATCCATAATAGAGGTTTTTTGATAGAAATATTTAGATCGAGGCTCAAGGCTATTTTGTTTTATTCGGGTGAGAGTTCGAGAGAACAGGATGAGCGTCTCACTGGGGAGGGTCGCCTGGGTCGCGACGAAAGCAAACGAAAGAGAAAGCGGAGCTAAAACGACCGTGTCGTGTGAGAATAAAAATAATATACGTTTGCATTGTCCGCGATTTGTTTTATCTGGAACAACCCTACGCCAGGCCCCATTACCCCCGATAATTTAAGAGTTATATACCGTGCATCGTATCTTCCCAAAAACACCGGTGTGCTCATGCAATTTGAACTTGTATAGAGGTTTATCTGTTTTGCGTATTTATTTTTAGCGATATGCCTACTTGTCCTGTACTTTGCACTCCTATCATTGTTTTTGTATTGTTTGCTGTTGTAACTTTATGAACCGCGCACTGCTGGACATCTGTGAAAAAGAGATTTATAGCTCATCGGATTCCTCCAGTATAAATATTGATTGTGATTCTGGATCTGTCGAGATCCGGCCCCCTACATAGGTGGAATGTGGTCATGGGAAGCCATTTTACATCAAATAAAATTGCCTTGGTGCATGCTCAACTGACTTTATTTAAAAGTGATCATTAAAACGCGCCCAGGTTTATTCTGCGTTTGCTGTTAACGGGCAATTACAGGACAAACGAAGGTACGCTTACCCCGTAGGTAAAAAGATAAAGGTTTCCGATTCCGATCGTGGGGCACGCTTCACCCTCAAGCTCTTATTAAACGCGAGCGACCGCGTAGCCCCGATTCCAAAGCCGCCGCTGCCGCCCCCTTTGCAGGTGGTGACGGCCATGGGCCGCACGTGGCACCCGGAGCACTTTGTGTGCACCGAATGCCAGGAGGAGATCGGCGCTCGCAACTTCTTTGAGCGCGACGGCCTCCCCTACTGCGAGAAGGACTACCACTTCCTCTTCTCTCCCCGCTGCGCGTACTGCAGCGGCCCCATCTTGGATGTAAGTGGAGGGCGCGCCCCCTTGCCCCCTAAGCTCCGTGGCTTAAACATTCTGTGCCCGCACGGGGGCAGGAAGGATCCTACGTCGCTGTTTCCACGATGAAGGGGGTTGCGGTTCGTGCTGTCCTCACAGCGGCGAGGCTGTCGTCGCAAAGGAAGGGGGCGCCGCGGTTTGTAGATGATCGCCGTTTGCCAGTCGGGGGCGATGTCGCCGTACGGTTTTACCCAGCACAGTAATTCTGCTGATTCTTTTTCTGCGGCTCCTAAACAAACGTGGCCTACCCTTCCGAACGACGCCACGCGGCGTTCGCTGTCCGCTGCGAAGCCACGTCCGTGCTTGGTGTGTGCCGCAGTGTTGACCAGGGTTGTGGCCGGCAGGTCTCCAAAGCCGCCGGACCTCTTAAAAAAAGCCCAAGCGGCGAACGCGGTATATATACCACCGCTCGGCCACGTCGCCACCGCTCGGCCACGTCGCCACCGCTCGGCCACGTCCGCCCCCCTTATTGCGCGCGCCTGCCTCTGTGTGACGCAGAAAGTGGTGACGGCTCTGGACAAGACCTGGCACCCGGAACACTTCTTCTGCGTTCAGTGCGGACACTTCTTCGGAGATGAAGGTGAGGGCAGCGTTCCTTTCTTAATGAGCTCACGCAGGTGATTAAAAATTATTATTATTTAAATAGGAAAGGCGCAGCCCTGAAATCGCTTGCTTAGCCACTGCTGGCAGAGGGGCTCCATGAGACCGAGCACTTGCTCCACAAGAGCTCCACAAGAGCTCCACAAGAACTCGGAGCGCGACGGTGGCTAGGAGATGTTAACTACCTCGCCTGGTATACAGGAGGTGGTGGGTTCGATCCCAACCCTGACGCCTGCTGTATATTTGGAGTTTGCGTCTCTCTCTCTCTCATCATAATCACGGTGGCTAGGAGATGTTAACTACCTCGCCTGGTATACAGAAGGTGGTGGGTTCGATCCCAACCCTGACGCCTGCTGTATATTTGGAGTTTGCATGTCTCTTTCTCTCCCCGTAGTTGCATGGATTTTTTTCCGGGGTCCTCCGGTTTTTCCCACCACATTTAGAATCAACACCACCACGCATTTAGATAATTTGGCTACTATAAATTTCCACACGATAAACCACTTCGTTGATCCATCATTTGTGGCCAGGTCGCTTCTGAACAAGAGCTATATAGCTTAATGGGCCTTACCTGGTAAAATTTAAATAATTTTTAGTTCCCGTTCATTCTTATGAACGAATGTCTACATGTTGATCTCAGTTCGTTCATTTCTATAAAATATATACAAGCTGTATTATGTTTTGTTTTCGGTGTACCTTGTTATTGTGTCGCTGTTCTGTCTGAGTTTCTGATGAGAACGTTGTGTTACGTGGCCTGTGTGTGTGTGTGTGTGCGCGTGTCTATCTGGTGGGGAGCGGTAGTGTCGCGGTTATCGCGCTGCGCTTCGAACCTGGCGACCCAAGTTCGATTCCCGCTCACGGCAAACACCACCAGTGATGATTATAATTATCTGAACTTTGTCCTGGGCCTCCCCTCGGTCGACTCACCCTCAATTGAGTACCTGGTGCGGTGCGTAAACATCGCCACTAGGGAGACGGCTGGGCGTGCTGCTGGCCACCCCCACCCCCCTCATGTGCCGTGCCGGCCTTCATAGGCACTACTCGATAACAGCACTTGCCCCAACAGTCTGTTATGGCTATACTGGGGGGTTATTTTTTTTTTTTCTCTCTGTTTGTGGCGACAGGTTTTCACGAGAAGGATGGCAAACCCTACTGCCGCCAAGATTACTTTGAGATGTTTGCCCCCAAGTGCGGAGGCTGCAGTCGGGCGATCGTGGAGAACTACATCTCCGCCCTGAGCGCGCTGTGGCACCCAGAGTGCTTTGTGTGCCGGGTAAGCGCCGCCCTTTCTTCAACATTAAACGCAAATAGCTCGCGCATGGAAACAAGGAGCCGGGGAAGAGACGGAAAACCGGGCAATGGATGAAGTGGCAAACGATAGAACGAAGCAGTAATACTCGCCAAGTCACGTGCTGTTTAATAATCGATTGTGTTTGTCTCTTTTGTACCATCACATTTGAAATATCCGGCTCGTATCGTTTTGCTCTGTTCGCCTGATTTGCACGAATCGGGTAATTGATGAGCGTGGGACAATTCAATGTAGGGGTAAGTCCTCGCTTTAAGACGCAGCGTTCGCTTGACGCGCTTTCGCTAAAACGTTAGAAAGCGGAATGGGCACACCGTTGCAAGGCGGCAAACACCGTTGTAACGTAGTACTCGGCCCGTCATGACGCGGAACATGCCCCGGTATGACGTGGCTTCTGAGTGGTTGACGGCGGCCTACTTGTGCTGCGCTGCTGAGCTCGGTGATACAGTACGCGGAATGATACAGTACGCGACAGGGTACCCTTGTCTCAGTTGTTTGTGCCGCCATCTCACCACGTGTGTGTTCGTGTCGTATCTCGCCAGAACGCGGCAGACACCACCGCGGCATTCGTTCTCATGGGCGGCGGGGGCAGGCGGGGGGAGATTGTTTTCGCTCGGCGCGTTTCTACGCTTAACGCGGCACTTTCTCAGCAACGCCATCCACCGCGATGAATGAAACTGTCCTTACGCGCGTGTCTTCTCGCGCGTGTGCGTCCACCAGGAATGCTTCACCCCGTTCATCAATGGCAGCTTCTTCGAGCACGAGGGCCAGCCCTACTGCGAGGTTCACTACCACGAGCGACGCGGCTCGCTCTGCTCCGGCTGCCAGAAGCCCATCACGGGCCGCTGCATCACCGCCATGGCCAAGAAGTTTCACCCGGAGCACTTTGTGTGCGCCTTCTGCCTGAAGCAGCTCAACAAGGGCACGTTCAAGGAGCAAAACGACAAGCCCTACTGCCACCCCTGCTTCATCAAGCTCTTCGGGTGATGCGCACGCCATCCAACCGACGGCGTCTCCCGAGGCCCACAGTGTTCTGGACTTTGCCAACCGAGAGGGGTCATGAGTGGAGATTCAGTTCAATGGGGGGTGTTGTTGTTGTTGTTGTTTGGCGTAAGTTACTTTAGAATGTGGGAAAGGCTAATTTGGCGAGGGGTAAGTACACCCCAGGGGGCATTTAAAACTTTTGTTTAAATTCCCCACTTTAAATATCCTCTCCAGTGGAGGTCCTTTTGCCAGCGGTCACTTGAGCAAGTCATTGCAGAGCTGCGCATTTTCTACTTTAAAGTGTAACTCCCGAAAATATTTGACCGCAGTTTGTGCGTCCGTCTTCTTTAATCTTGAGACTAAATGTAATGTTTAAAATTCATGCCTCGGTGCTCAGATGAGCTCTTCCATTGGCTGCGCAGAGCTGTGGGTGTAAATTCCACATTCCAATAGCAGGGGCCAGCATCTCCATCATCGAGAAACCACATTTGGCTTCTCGTAGAAGTGGTATTTTATATCGGTTTTGCATAGTTTTTTAGGGAAACTGAAGTCATAAACGAGAGAGGATGAATTGGAGTTAATGTTAACATTCTTGCCTTGAAAAGGCACTCATGCCAACAAACCCTGTTGACTGAACCTCTTATTACATGACTCAGAATGGGCAGAGGGATATGGCCATATACTGTGTCCAGGGATGACTTGTATACCCACCTTGACACGCTCGTAGATACCAAGTTGCAACGCGTTTTCAGGGGTGCCTGTCCCCATAACGGCAGATCCCGTTGTAGTACTGCTACATTTAAAACATCGCATTGGTTGCAGTACTGCTAAATTTAAAACATCACATTGGAAGAAAGGGAGCCAGGCTCGAGAGATGGGCTACATTTCTAAGTGTGGTTCTTTTGGCCACGGGTCAATAATGTTTGTTGCAGTCAAAACTCGTCATGGATTTTACTTGGGTGGAGCTTGCTAACCTTTGGAGTTCATGGAAGAGGTTGTGATATGGGTGGGACACATGGGCAGGATGGAGGGGAGGGTGGGTGACTGAGATGGGCATTGCAGCGGCAGCCAGAGGTTGGTGACCCCCGGGAAGACCTAAAGCCAAGTCATGGTGGTGGTGGTGAGGGTGATGAGACACGGAGTAGAACCTGGAGGTGAGGTATTGACTCCAACATTTGCAATATCTTAACAGACAGAATAAAGTGGTGGTAAGGTGGTGGGGCTTGAATGGCATTGGCTGTGGTGGCATCTTGACCTCTGCCTTTGAGATAATGACATTTCTAACACAACTCTGTGTCCTCGAGTCATTTGCTTAGTGACCCTGTGGTTGATTTAGAGTGGTTGACACGTCCATCAAATGTCTAGCGCCCGATGAACTGCAAATTGCATTTCAAGGGTTTGACTCGCATTTGGCATATTCTGGGTTTAGCATTCAATCTGAAATTAAAATGTAAACGCCCTCTCTGAGTTGCCATCACATACACCCACATTCGGCTTCAAATGGGACTCATTAAAGCAATAGCAACCCCATTCTGATTCCACTTACATTGAGGTCACAAGCGTCATCGCCATCTTCCTGCTGTGGGTAGCTTCATCCCGTTGCGTCTCTTTCGACAGACAGGGTACAGGTAACATGTGCCAAAACATGTCGCGCGGAGGGTTGTTGGTCATTGCCGTGCGGTGATTACTCGACCTGGTGCTATCGTTGAAGTGTAAGAGAGTCCACAAAGGATGAGGAATAGGACTGTTCATCCCAAGAATAAAAATAAGAACGTTTGGTATTTGCGCAATTCTTGCAGCGTAAGGCGCTACGCTTCGCAGACGAGTACAGCTTTCAGTAATTCTTCAAATTCGGCAAATATGGACCGTGATGCCCCGGCGCACGCGGCTTCCGACTCATCCTCAAACAACGTACACGGGATCTCAGAATCAGAATCCTTCTTTATCCTGGAAAAAGCCGACGAGCTACGGAGCTCTTTTGTACAGATGTCCAGCAGGCGCACGCGGTCCGAAATCTCCAACGTCCGCTGTGATCTCCGATGGCCACCTTGAAGCGGACCGCGCGTGGTATTATATATATTTTTTTACCGTCAAATGCGCCCGCGGTATTAACCGGGTGGGGCGACCGCGGGGCTCGAACCGCGAACCTTCCGCGACGGCAAAGCGCGCCCGCTCTCCCTCTCTGCCGCGTCGCCGCCCCCCCAAGCGAGCGCCACTGCCCCCCTCCCCGCGTTGTGGAGACGCTCCGCGCCCACCGCCGAATGTTGACTGCAGCGAGAGGGCAAGAGGCCACAATTTCCCAAAATGCATTGTCCACCAGCAAAGCAGGGCCTGCGTATGGCTTCAGAGGCTTAATGTCATTGGATTTTACTCTTATATCGCATCCTACACATGGCAACATTTTCAGTGTTTTTTACATATATAGAAAAATAGAAAATGACGGTACAGTACTCGGGAAAAAAAAAACAAGGTAATAAATCATGCAATCGCCAACGGTCCTTTAGGCATTCACAGTTATTCGTTTGAAAACCACAGCAATATCCGATCCTTTTAATTCTTCGATTATTGACGGCACGGCCGACTTGCTCCACTTGCTCTTTCTTCTGTCCAGTGAGCTTTGACGGTCATCTCCTCGCCGATGTTTAAGTGTCCCGCTGTCGCGAATACTGCGCCACGCAGGGATGGTTTCTGCACCCTGTTACACAGAACCAGTTTGTACCGATTTAACCACGGGCTATAATCATGTGAAGACGGGCTTAAGGATTTAAAAGAACAGGGTTATGGACATGTGCACACACCAGTGAAGTTCCTTCCGTTGGGAATGTTAAAAGAGTTATGGACTGATAAGAAAGAGGCGTTTTTTGAGGACTATTAAAAAAAATGTTTTCATTTCAAGCGCCGTGCATGTGACGCTTAAAGAGCGTGCACACATCACACGTGATGGTGCATAACGCTGCCAACATCGGGCACTGTGTGGGGATGGCAAAGCGCGCGGGGCCTTGAAGATATTTTATGCATTGCGATGTAATGGGAAGAGAAGGGCCTCTTTATTTTTGTAATCCGGTGGCGTCCGTGTCAGAAATGTCGGCGTCTCCTTGCTCAAAAACGCGCACGGGAAATTCTGCTCCCCCTTTTGTCACACTCCCTGAGGCCGTCGGTGAGAAATTCCACGTTCCTGTGGCAGGGGCTCAAATTGTTATTCGTTCTGTTGATGCTCGAGAGATAACGGTATTGGGGTGAGTTGAATTCCTAACCTATCCTATTGGGGGTGGGGGGTGGAGGGGGAGTCGAGTGGTCTTGTGGCGTAGGAGGGATTGGGGTTCTCACGTGCCATGGTCACGATGCGAAGATCGAAGACTCGGATTTGCCACAGAAGTGGGTCGTCGGTTGGCAGTGCCTTGGGGTCAATGTTGAGGTTTGTCCAGAAATATAACGAGCTTTTTGCCGATCTCACGTCGGCAAAAGTTGGGCCGGCAGACGGAGCAAATGTGGTCGAAAATCACCCCCTTCTAATTGCCACGGTGTTGGGTGGCATTCGTACTGAACGTGTCAGAGTCTCTGTGCCTTTTTCTTTTTATTCAGTGGTGATTTCCAAGTGAGGTGTTTTTGTTTTATTTACATTTATAGAATGCCACTTTGGCGCATTGCATCCTGGTTTAGCTGTTTTGAAAGGCCGGGGACATTCGAGTCCCATTATCGGTGCAGTCTTCCCTCGTTTGCGGAGGGATACGTTCCGGAGATGCTCGTAATTAGCATGATAGTGGCTCTTCAGATATCGTACGCCCGACGTCTGCAGATGCTTCGAGAAGTTCTGTATCTCTCTCATCACTTCTCACATGAAATTCTCTCTCATAGCTTTATATCTCATTATCACTTTATCTCTCCCTCTCGATGCAGCAGTCGTGTAGAGTTCCTGACGCGATTCGCGGATAGCCAAAATTGCGGATAGCAAGTTCGTGAATAGCGAGGGAATACTGCAGTTTAAATTTCCCACATCCAGGGTGAACTTTGTCCTGTGTGGACCCCACTGGGTTATAACAGTTGAGAGACTGCTGTTCCCCTCCTTCATAACCACCGTATTACCGTGATGACTAACCAGAGGTTTACTGTTTGCCAATCTATGCAAAAATAATCCGATATGTAACGTTAATTAACTCGATAAGATTGGTTCATTCCTTTACAACTGTGGTGTGCTGTTTGCGTTGAAGATATTTTGTCATTCATGTGTTAATGTACACGCAACATTATTTGTCCCTAACGGAGGTTTTTTTCGAGTTAGATCGTGTAAATTTAAATGTGTCGTTAAACCCGCCACTACCCTACACGTTTATGTTTACGGGATCTTAACACGGAAACCCTCTTGTGGTTAATTTTGATCGCGAAAGCCTCCTACGTGTTCAAATGATTCGTCCGGTTTGTAATGCGTTTGTCAATTGCTGCTGTCGCATTTTGTAGTCATTTCATTGGTGTAGATTAGATTGGTGAATTCATAAATAAGTTTGTTGTACAATACACAAATTAATGCTTTTTTATTTACGTTACAAAATCATCATTTGGTGCACTAACAAACAGCTTCTTTTGTCGGTGTAGAGTTTTGCATTTGAAATAAACAAAAAGTCTGGGTATATATAAATATAAAGTCTGGTATGCAAATGAGCACAGTTCTGATGACTTGCATGGTTTTCGTCAAATTAATTGTCAAAGTTGCTGCGTGGCCCCCAAACGATGAGCTAATCCAATCAGAGCTTTGAGCCAGCCACCACTAAGAGTTATGCGTTCGAATCCAGGTTCATTTCTACATCATTGCCTCCGTTCGCCACGAGCCTTCTCATTCGTACATTTAGCGCGGTGGCGAGGCGATGTTAACTTCATCGCCTGGTATGCAGGAGGTCGTGGATTCCATCCCGTCCCTGACGCCTGCTGCTGTATATATTTGGAGTTTGCGGTGTCTCTCGTCGTGGTCGCGAGGATTTTTCTCCGGGCCCTCCGGTTTTCCCCTCCATTTGGAACCAACGTCACCACGCGTTTATACTATTTGGCGGCTGCTATACATTTCCACGCGATACGCTTCTTCGTTGATCTATCATTTGTGGCCAGGTCGCTTCTGAAAAAGTGCTCCATAGCTCAGTGGGGCCTTACCTGGTAAAATACAAAATAGTTGAGTAATCCCGCACGGCCACGGAACGTACCCAGGGAGGGATTCTGAGAAGGGCACCGGGTTGCCCTCCCGCCGTGCCACCTAACTTCAACGAGTCAATGAGTGGACCTCGAGAGAGTCTAGAGAGTTGATGATTACAGCCCGGTCACCAACGACCAAACAAAACAAACAAAAACCATTACGTTCAGCACCGCAGTTCGTTCGGTTTATTAAAGCTTTGGGAAATAAACATTTTGGTTTTGATTGCCACGCAACAAGCACCCTTTGGCTTGGCATTTAAAATGTTTGTCCCCTTTAGTGTCCAATAAAGGCCCTAATATCGTTCTGCAATGACTTTTTCTGGGGCCGTGCTATAACACAACGGTGCTTCACTGCCGGTCGTGAAGTGTCTTTGTACCCGTGACACCGACACGGATAGCACAAATGTATTTGCGGCAGAAATGTGTTGAACGCGTTTCTGCGATCCTGCCTGTGTTGAGTCAACGTTGCTGTGGCAGCTTAAAATATCGGGGCGCAGTGTTCAGGAAGAAGGGTGCCCTGTCTTCTTTGGTTCTTTCGGTAAAGTCACGTAGAATGAGAATGAAATAATAAAATAACACAATAAAATTCTCACGACGTTTCAGATGAAAGGTACAGAACTGTCGGGATGACAGTTCTGTACCTGAAGACGGCCGCTTGCGTTGTGGCCGAAACGTCGTGAGAATTTTATTGTGTTATTTTATTATTTTATTCTCATTCTACGTGACTTTACCGAAAGAACCAAAGAAGATGAATCCTTGCAGTCACGAAAGCTTCAAATCAAAATTTAAGGGTGCCCTGGTTCAGTTGTATATTCAGAATGCTCCTGCAGCGAGTTAACAAAATAACCGATTACGAATTAACGTGAAGGAGTTGGGCAAAAAGAGTTATGCAAATGTGGAATACAGATACCGTATTGTCTGGATTATAGGGTCCTTCTGGAAAGTTAGACCACACCCCAAGCGTGTGCCCGGTGACAATAAGGTTGTAAAAAGACGAAGATCAACCTCTCTTATAGCCTTCACAGACGTTTTGGGACAAATGCAGTTAGCGAGTGGCCCCTGTGAAGGCCGGCCGCTTTTGTCTCCCTAAGTGGCAAGGGTTTACAGACTCCACGCCAAGCTTTGAATCTTAAAATACACGTGAAAATCGTTTTTTTTTTAATCTGGAGAAACACAGCAGACGGCAGAAATGCTCATTTAACATTTTATACCATTTAATATGTAATGTGCGTGCATCGTGATAAGAGTGCATTACCAGGTGTCTGAGTTTTGGTTATAAAACCCCCTCTGAAAGAGCAGCGCTTCTGAAAGAAACGCCCAATGTTTAAATTTGTACTCAAATGTTTGACCCAGTGGCCGCAAACAAGTGAAACACATTCCTGTGGAGGGAGGGAGCTGGGTTGCACGGTCAATGGCCAGGGTCAACGGCGGCACCACGTGGTGTATTCCGCAAATATGCTCGACTGTGAGGGCGGGCACAAGCCGGCGTGAGTAGGTTAAACGTTGAGTTTTATAAGGGCACCACGGGGTGACCAGCCCCTCCCCACGCAGCCCCACCCCTCCCACCCAGCCCCTCCCCACCCTCCCCACCCAGCCCCTCTCCACCCAGCCCCACCCCTCCCATTTTTGGATGCACGACGGACGAACGGACACAATAATCCCGTGTGGGCTGGTGTGACCAGGAGGTTCCTACCAGTATAAGTAGATTCTATTTTTGTTACTATTCAAATCCGAGATCATATAAAATGTATTTTTTATAAAAGATCTCTTCCGATGTTTTGATGCGATAGGTTTTAATAATGACAAATGTAAAGCCGTATCTACATTGGCGACTACACAGAGCCCCCCCCCCCCCCCCCCCTGAGTGTTTTAATTCGTGCACGGAACGCCAAATTGTGTTCCTCACGAACAGAACTCCACACGAACCTTTGAGCCATGGTCGTGTAACGGCGGCGTCTCGCTGATTAATACTTTATCCCATCATAAGTATATGTTTACATTCTGTAACGGAACGCTCCACCCAATTGTGTTCGTCACAAGTTATTCGTGATTTACGTAGACTAACTTTAATAACATTCTTGAATATTTATAGCATCATTCGCGAGCCATACAAAAATGATCAACTTAAAAATTAGCCTGTTATATTTGGTCAAACACTTAATTAACTCACCCATAATGTGATGGCTGGAACAGACTAAATGATTTCGTGGGCCTCATACGGCCCGCGGGCCGGACGTTCACCACCCCTGCGAGACACTCAGAATACATAAAGGGGGTGTTTCTGTTCAAACTTCACTTGTTTTTTCACGTTGCTGCCTAAATGTGTTTTTAAAAGGCCGGTGTTGGTGCGACGATATTTCTTTTGCAGAGCAACAGCAACAGTTACCCGCGAATGATTCTCACCCAGCCGAAGCATGGACAGTTTATCACGCAGTTGGCTTTCGCGACCAATAACATCCATAATAAAAGTTTCTTTGGGGTTAGATCGCGTAAATATATACATGCGTCGTTAAACCCGCCACCACCCGCCACGCAGCCAGATAGGTTTTCTCCACAAATGATGCGAGTTGTAATTACTGGCGTCATACTCGGATTGTAAATGCTGTGGGTTTACTCTCCAGCACACCGGTGTAGTGCTGTACCAGTCACGAATTGGCCACGTTCTGTTTACGTGCCAACCCTTACTAGTTGGCTGTGTCGGGTGTGTGGCGGGTTTCACGACACCACATTGATATCGACGCGATCTAACCCCAACACAAGCCTGCATCGAAGCGTGGACGCTTTTGAGTCATCGCTTCACTGCGATCACTCAACGTCGACATCGCTCGGCGTGCAGGTTCTCTCCCAGGTGGCTGTCGGAACGAGTCGGCCGCCACCATGTACGGGCTGTGCCGGGCCTGCTGCAGGATTGGGACGGCGTTGCAACTGCGATTTACGCGTGGGTTTAGGCCACATTTATGGCGACCGCCTAAGGTGCAAGTTCGTGTGAAGGCGGCGAGAGAGTGGCTGCCCTGAGCGGTCGAGAGATTCTGTCGAGGGATTCTGTCGCACGGAAAGTGGCGCCGTCTACTCGTGCCGCTGCGGGCTCTGGCGGGAGGGAAGAGAGTGGGGGCTGAGATGTCGATGGCATCTCGAGCTTCAGTGTCGTCTCCCCGCTCGAACGAGGGGGTGGTGACGGCGGTGGCAGTCTTCTCCATTGGCAGCCCTCAGCCGGTGATGGTGGCGGCTCATTCCATCCCCCGGCGCTCGGCGTCCCCTCCGTCAAACCAAAGGCGGTCGCCTTCCCGCACGCAAAGCCACGCTTTCTTTTCCCCGCCTACCGAACCCCTCGAAGTGTGCGTGCTCGTGACGTTTCAATTACGAGTCGCGCGTCCCAACCGCAGTAGTTCTTGCTCGGATAGGGACGTTTAATAAACTAACACACACACACTCTCACAGTGTAACATGGGTCGGGACGTTTCCCTGTCGCACGCTCTCGCGAGTCCAGCTCGTCGAGAACGCGCGCGGTGCGCCAAGCTGCGTCTGTACCCACGCCGTGCCCACGACGCCGCACGCACGGAGTGCGCCCGGTCCGCCTCGCACCTCGGGACGCTTTTTGCGGGGTGGAAGCTTTGACGGCGCTTGCTCGATGGGCGAACTTCCAGCGAGCACGCCAGGTTGTCGCAGGCGGCTGTCGGGGGCTGTGTCCTCAACGCGGCGTGGGATGGCCGTCATCCAGCAGTGGATCTACAAAAGGAGCTGCTGCGTCTCTCGTGCAGCCCACAGGGGAGGGTGGTGGGGTGGGGGGTTCCTTTGATGCGATTGAATGAGCCACGTTAATGCTGTGCAGGTGGGGCCTTCTTTTAACAATACATTGCGACTTTGTAACTTTGTGTCACAAGAGGAACAATTTCGCCAATGCGCTGCCTTCCGTTGGCTTGGCCCTTACTCATGCCACCTCGCCACGTGGCCTCCTACCAGTAGTGTAAGCCGGTGGCGTTTGCTTGTGAAACCTGCTTCTGTAACGTTGTTGAATTAATAATCGTAAAAACAAGATCCGTAATCACCCAGTAATGCCACACAGGGTCTGAAGACTCTCTTGGGTCCTGCGTTGGGATGTTCGGCCAACTCCAATGGCACTGTGCGGTTTTACTCTGGGAGGAAGCGTGGGAGTCCAGAAGAGAGACATTCACACAGAGGAGAGACATTCACACAGCGGAGAGACATTCACACAGAGGAGAGACTCACACACCGGAGAGACATTCACACAGCGGAGAGACATTCACACAGCGGAGAGACATTCACACAGAGGAGAGACATTCACACAGCGGAGAGACATTCACACAGAGGAGAGACATTCACACAGGAGAGACATTCACACAGCGGAGAGACATTCACACAGAGGAGAGACATGCACACAGCGGAAAGACATTTACACAGAGGAGAGACATTCACACAGAGGAGAGACATTCACACAGCGGAGAGACATTCACACA